ACACACACACAGAGAGAGAGAGAGAGAGAGAGAGAGAGAGAGAGAGAGAGAGAGAGAGAGAGAGAGAGAGAGAGAGAGAGAGAGAGAGAGAGCTAGAGAGCTGAAGGATCCTGCTCAATGAATAGGGGAAGAGGAAGTATGTCAGGTTTGGCTAGTTGTAGTCTCTGAAAGTGGCACGAAACTGGCAGCCTGCACCTGACCGGAATGGCATGTCCGGAAGTCTGTTGTGAAGGGTCTCACTGACAACAGCCTGCCGAAGGCTCATCCTTGTTCCCTGCACCCTCCTATCCCAGGCTCTGTACCCTGCAATCCACCCATGGCTCTCTTATCAACCATGGCGGCATCACCGTCTTCCAAGATGCTGCTGCCTCATGGCGTTGTCAGTGGAAGCCCGGTGAGCTCTCCTTCTCTCAAGCTTCCACCTCCCAATTCCAACTTCTTCTTTCTCAACTTTCCTCCTTCTTCCTCAAAGACTCCTTGCAATTGCATTGCAGGGATGAGTGGCATGCAGCCCTCTCAAGTCAGCTCAATGGCATCTGCTGTTCCCGTATCTCTTACTCGATACAGATCCCGATACCTATCTCATCTTTCCTCTCTCGTCCCGCCGGCCCGTTTGCGCATCGCCAGTCCCAACAGCACCAGTTCTCTCTGTGAGAACTTGAATATGTTCAATCCTGTGCCCTCTGCGGGGCTTTCCACTGCTCAAATTATCCTTTCGAGAAGGAGCGGGACAGGTTCCGCTCTCTCCTCGAAGTATTCGGCCTCTCAGACCCGTCAGATCTCACTTGCGACGAGAACCCGCGGTTCTCGGGGGTTCAAGGTCCCTCTTCCTCAGGCACATCCCTCCTCGTCTGCAAGTGCTGCTGCTGGGCGGTTATGTGCTCTCTGCATGGCCCAACCACCGTCATCTCTATCCAATTCAGAGGTGGAGAAAAAGCAGGAAGGCAAAGAGGAGGAGGAGAAGGACGGGGAGGAAGAGGAGGAAGGGGTTGGAAGCTATGGGAGGGAAGAAGGAAAGGGGGGGAGGTCTTTTGCCGGACGTCTGCGTGTTTTAGGAGGCCAGAACGCCCCACGCTTGGGTGTCAGTGGACAGCATCGGCTTCGGTACAGCTGCAGATCTAGGTTCCCAAATGGGTCTGGTCCCGCTGAGGTGCCAAGGGCTGGGTTGGGTCTCCCTGAGGGGCCTGGAAAGGTAAGCTGCAGGGGACGGGGTGTCATGCTGGGAGGCGCAGCAGCAAACGATCGCGCTATGGTGTCAGAACCTGGACTAGGCCAGGTCAGAATCGATATTGCCCCTTGGTCCTTGGATGCATCTACCACCGAACCACTTGCACAACTGGTATTATTATAATTAAAGTGCCAAAAATGATACATATTAGATAATAAATTAATGCAAAACATAAATAAAAGGCTATTAAAAGCAGAAAGATAAAATAAGAAACAAAATAAAATGAAAATTAAAATTAAAAAATTAAATGAACAAAAATGTAAAGATCTTATCACCGCTTTGGAGCTCCCTAAGTCTACACCCACATGTGCAGATGATATTCAAAACACGAAAAGAAAAGAGGAAAAGAAAAAAAAGTTTAAATAAGATGTGCTTTTCCCAACTTTTTCTCCTGTATCATATTTCTTCTCACACACACACAGTGACACACACACAGTGACACACACACACACACACACACACTCACACACACACAGACACACACACACACACACACAGAGAGAGAGAGAGAGAGAGAGAGAGAGAG